GACGATCTTGTTGTGCATCCATGAACGATATTAAGGAGAATAATCTTCTGATTTTGTAAGTGTGTCATCCACAAAACCAATTTTGTTCTTGCCATTAAGAGCTATTAACATGGCACGACGCCAAGAATTGAAATAATCACCGATTAACGGTTGTGAAACAAGAACAACCATGAACTGATCAGATGAGTGATGAGTGAAGGTAATAGGAATCATCATGATTTGCCATTGATGAAAGGAGTAAATAGGAGCATGAGATGAAGAAGAAAGGTGCGAAAGCAAAATAAAAAATAAAAAAAAAGTATAGATACCATGTTGTAGTTTGAGAGATTCATGAAGAGAAAGAATGACTAAAATGATCTCATCAATTAAATAGATGTACAAGTGACATATTACACTTATATAAACTAGCGTCTAGACGGTCTGTTCGTCTTTTTAATACGCACACGTAAAAAAACTATAAATGATATTTTTTATTTAATATTAATTTTAAATGAAAGTTAGGTAGGAAGTTATTAGTAAAAAATTATGTGAAAGATGATAGTAGTTTCTCCATGAAAGTTATTGTATAAGTTACACATTTTAAAATAAGGGTAAAATCGATAGAAAATTATGCTACACCAAAATTCAAGTTTTACCTTTATATATGTTATAGATAAAAAAAATTTAAAAAGTAATTACACTCTTAATAATTAACTTTTGTCAGTTAGTTACAACAACTAATAACTACTTTCTCTACCAATCTTATGATAAATTTATCCAAAAAGAAAATGAACATTGATATAATTTATTTTAGAAAACTAAATACGATGATCATTAATTTATTTAATTTGAGCAAAATGAATTGTTGATATTATTGTTTTTTATTAAAATAACTAAAAAAAATTAATTACGGAACCATTAACTTTTCTTTTACTCATGAATCATTGATGTTGGTGTATTAGTAACTTATTTTTTATAAATAAAACTAGAGATAACATTTAAAATCAAGCCATTAATTTAAACAAAAAGTGAGTTAGCTCACCAAAAATGAAAGGTAACGTTCGGATCCCTCCTCTTTGACAGTGCTTCTTTTTCTTGTTATCTGCTATCTCCACTTCTTTTTCTACCATTTCCATAGTGCTCTTATTCCTCCATTTCCACTCACTATATGTGTATAAACAGATAGAGAGACGGATTGATTATTTTTTGTTCGTCTAAAAGTTTAATTTTCATAAATTTATGCCTTGAGGATCCTTCATAGAGGGAAAGAGCTAGGTGTCTTTATTTTATTATCTGATTATGTTTTTGAAAATTAACCATTTGGCTGGCTTGGAGAGACATGGTAAAGTCGACAAGGTTGCAAGGGGTGGTGGTGGGATTGTGTCTAAATTCGGATCTTCTTTTTAAATGTAACGAAAAAAATCAAATAGTTTTATTATAAAAACAGAAAAGAGGTAATGAATCGTGGTACAACACAGATTAATTTTATTGACAACCCCTAAATTATATATGACATGACAATATTATTAATCATAGTTAAAAATTACAAGCGGGAGCATTCTTAAAGGTGAGACATTCTTCTTATAGCAACACATATTTGTGAGAGACACACCATATATTTACTCAAAGTTTAATGTGATAGGTAGGTGAATTCTCTCACTTATAAATGCTCAAGTCACTACATTTCTATCCAATGTGAGAATATTATTCACACTTGTAATTCTTTTTTAACATTTACCATTTACATGATGAGTAGGAATAAATAAATCATTGACTATAGTTTTTCACAACTCAAGATGAAAACTTTAAATGAAAATTTTAAATCAAGCTTTCCACGATTCAACCTATCACCAATAAACGATGGATTTGTGTTTAGGAAAGTTCTCTTGTTAAAAATAGTTTGAAACTGTGGAGGTTTGAAAACATTGATTAAAAATAAAATCATTTTGAAAATCAAAGTTTGAAAACACTTTATAAAAAACATTTAAATAAACAAAAGAAATTAAGCAGAAAGTAAAAGAGTTAAGGAAAGAGAGATGAGACCAGAGATTTATAGAGGTCCGGTCTTAAAGAAGTGACCTATTCCTCTTCCCAAGAATTGATCTTAAGAGTATCCACCAATGCTTGAGAGCTTTTATAAGGTTAAGCTCATGAACCCCTTTATACAAGAAAATGAAGTTTAGGGTTGACCTCTAACCAAACAAAAAACAGAGTTTGAAGTGGTTAATCTCCAAATAACGAACAAACTTGAACATTTAGTCTTCTCGCCAAGCATCAAACATGCTTGAAATGATTAGCCTTCTTGCCAAACAAAGATTTTGCACAAACTGATCTCGAACCAAGATGGAGTTTTGAGTTGGATATCTTCGAACCAAATCGAGATTTTACACAGGTTATTCCCACGAACTTAATCGAGGTTTTTACTATGCGGATCTTGAACCTACTAAGCTTTTACACCAGGATGAACTCAAAAGTTGAGTGAGATTTTACACCAGGATGATCTCGAACCGATAGAAATTTTAAGAGGCCTGAACGTAAGAACCGTTGTGAAGATTTTTCTTTGTTTATTCTTAGAGAACCCAAAAGAAGAGTTTTTTTTCAATGATGGAGTTCACGAACCAAACAGAGACTTATTCTAATCCCCAATAAGAAACAAAGAGCTTTTAACAATGGTTTATCTCCCAAACAAAATAATCACTTCCAAAGAAAAAATGATTTACTCAAGAGAATATACTACTCTTGATAAATTTACAATAAATACCTCACAAGAATAAAACTCCTCATTAAACTCAAGAACGCTCTCAAAGAACTATGGATAAAATATGTGAGAATATGTAAAATATTTAGAGAGAATTGAGAGAAAGAAAAAGTGAGGTTTTTCATGTTTTCTAGATGATTTAAAATGATAGAGAAACTATCTATTTATAGGGAAACAATGATGTAAATTAGGAAACGATTCACGTACCTTTTAAATGACTTAATCAATTATACTATTGAAATAATCGATTATTGTTACTCAAATGAGAAGGTTTAGATAGAGGACTATTACCAATTAGTAAGAGACCGTCATAATCAATTATGGAGATGATTCGGCCTCATCTAATCGATTAGGCATATACTCTAATAGTTTAGATAGTTCAAAAAAATTTCCTAATCAATTTGGCAGTTCTTAATTCAACTGGCTAGTTCCTAAAACATTTTTTTGGTAGTTTTATAAAAAAAATTTCTTAATTCAATTTGGTAGTTCCTAAAATATTTTTTGGTAGTTTTATAAAAAAAATGAGAGGTTTATCAAGATTTTAAGTGTACGTGTGTGTGATTTAACCACAGTATTTACGAAAACGCCCTTGTATCTTTACAATATACTGATCACTCAGACGAATATGATGAAACGAGCTTTCACAGTTTTTCTTTTTCATATTCTGAAGCTTTAAGTCTTGGTATTATCTTGGACATCATTTCACACAAGAGCCTTGAGTTTTCTTGATGAGGCTTAAAATATTTCCATATTATTTTCCATCATCTGAGATGTTTCAAATCACCAGTGATCATAAACTCTAATTTTCACTTAGTTTGTTTTGGAGCAATAACTTTATCTTGTTCAACCACCTTGTGCATCTTTGACTGCTTGTACACACTTTAGAAGTTATTTTTATTAAAGTTTTGTTATCCTTAAAATCACTTCAGGTGTTGTTACTATTTCAGATGTTGTCATCATTAAAACCATGCACTTATAATTAAGGTCATGCATCATTAGAACTAAGCAATTGACTAGTATCTTGTTATCCATAAACTTCATCTTCTTATATTATTTCTTGATTATAACTATAAGCACGTTGTTCCATACATTATAGTACATACATACTCCCCCATTCTCTTTTATAAAAAAATTGACTTTTTAGGTTCATTTAATAAATGATGTATTTGAACATTATATAGACTAGATACATCAATTATTCAATTAATTCAAAAAAATTAAAATTTTCTTATAAAAAAGAATAGAGGGTGTATAACTCTAAGCAAAATATTGTTGAGAATATAACAAGTGTGAGTAGTGTGGATAATAGTTTTACATTGGTTGAAAATATGGATTTATAAGTGAGAGAACTCACTCACTTATCATCTTAAAATTTTGGGTGAATATGTGGTGTGTCTCTCACAAAAGTGTTACTTTAAAAGAAGTCCTACAATATTCTAATGCTCCCTAGTGGAAAAAAAACTCTCCCAACAAAAATTCCTTAAGAAAATAATGATCATGATCAGACAACACTACTTCATCAGATGGACAACCCACTAATTCAAAACAACACTTGACAATGCAAGAAAACAAAATGAAAAAGAAATATGAGATATTATAAGTATCTTAAGTGAGAAGACCAACAAGATCTAAACAACCATAAAAAATGTATTGGAATATTAACATCTTAAGGCTTCATGGAAGCTATTGAGTTAGAAGATAAGAATAAACGGATACATATTCAAAGCATAGACAAGTCTTCTATTCCCAACAAAAGAAGGAAACTATTACACTATCACAAAAAATTTTAAGTACCAAATTGTAGAACTTTCAAGAATCTAGGATTTTGTTCAAATGGCTGAGCATCTAATATATTCATTGTTATGCTTCGTCAATGTAATTCTTTTTTTTACAATGTTAGCACATCAAACTCATTCATTAACATGATTTTGATTTATTTATAATAAAAGTATAAAAAATATAAAATAATGATCTAACAATTGTGATTGACTAACTCTCCAAAAAAAACACTTATCTTTTTTATCTATAGGTTTTTTTGTTTACATTTATCATGGTTCCTTCAATTGGAGGTAATTAATCATATTTGGTTGAACATTAAAATAAACATTTCTCATAACTAAATATCAAATGATGATCAAAGCACATGCAAAGAAAAATACACATCATTTCCATTTCTTAAATATTGAACTTACATAAAAGTTCAGCACACATATTATATTCTATAACGATTATTATTACAAACTAATATCAACCACACATAATTTCATTCATCTTTTGTAAACCCTCTTTTATCCTCACCCTTACCATCTTTCAAATTCTCATCTGATGCATTTATACTCTCTTGCTCCAAATATTCTTCTTTCTCTCTTTCACATATTTCACCTAAGGGCTTATAAGTATAAAACCAAGCACATATTATGTAATAAATGAGATTTATAACTTGAATCCCACTAATAAGAAAATAATAATAATCCAATCTTCCTCTGTTAAGGTTTCTATCAGGAAGCCAATTCCTCTCTTTACCAGTATACTTATGAACCAATGATACCAACAATGTGCCCATATAATTACCAACGGCTGTAGTTATGCAGTACAAAGCAGTGGCACTACTTCTCATACTTTCCGGTGATTGATCAAACAGAAACTCTAAATGTCCAACAGACATGAAAACTTCAGCCACTCCATGTAAACAATACTGAGGTACTAACCAAAACACACTTATTGGAATAATCGCTTTTGGATCATCCAATAAGTTGTATTCTGCAGCAACTTTTTTTCTTTTTATTTCCACTAGTGCTGAAACTATAGTGGCTATAATGTTGATCACAAACCCTACTCCCATTCTTTGTAAACACGTTATTCCAGCGGGATTCTTTGTGAATCTACGTGCAAACGGGACGAAAAGGCGTTCGTATAGAATAATTCCTGTCATCATTGTTAAGACACTGAAGATTGACATGTTGGCTGGTGCAATTTGGAATGAGGGAGTGAGGTGGCGATCCATCGAACGAGCTTGTTGAATTACGAAACTACCTAAATGTGATGAGGAAGTTATGAGTAAAATTCCTGAAGCCCATATTGGAAGCATTCTAATGATGGATTTTAGCTCCTCAACTCTATGAACAGTTGCTAAATTCCAAAGGTTTGGTGGTGCATTTGAATCTTTGGCATCAACATCTGTGACAATTGCAGCTTTGTCCAACCACCTGCATATATTCATAGAGTCATTAGGTAATGTAATCTTTATATGTACAACTTCAATATGAATTTTGTATTGATTAGGTACTACTCTCCCTCTGATTTTATTTATAAGAAAAAATCATAGATAATGTATCTGATCTATATATTGTTCAGGTACGTTAGTTATTCGATGTATCTGGACTTACTTATATTGATTTGAGTGTAAAAGATCTCCTTCTAATGAAATAGCGGCATCAAGTTCCCTATTTTGATATAAAAGCTGAGGATCATCCGGCAATGTCTCGTTCCTTTTCTTGACAGCAGCGACAATCACTTGCGCTAAACGAACTAAAGGGCTTCCTTCTGGTTTCACATTCTTATAAATCGGCGAGCCCAACACGAATAAAATTATCGAAATCAGCATAGCAATGGTGGGAATGCCAAGTCCTAAACTCCAACCCATGTTATCTTGAATATAAACCACAATTGTCAAAGCACTTAGAGAAGCAAAACCCATGATGATAAAGTACCAGTTGAACAGATTCCACTTCCTAGACGCAACACCGTCTTTGGACATGTCGACTTGATCAGCCGAAAAGGGAACAACACAGGGTCTAATGCCACCTGATCCAAGAGATGTGAGAAGGAGAGAGATGTAAAGTGGTGATAGTTGCAAAGATGTAGGTTCTTGGCAGTTGAGTTGTGTAGGACATGGTGGAGGACGAAAATAGGGCAGTGTAGTTGATATAGTGATGCTAATCAATCCGAGTTCGTAAATGAGGCAACCAATGGTAATGGTCCAAAAGCGTCCGATGAAGGAATCTGCTAGGAGAGCACCAAGGAGAGGAGTGAAGCTTGATGTTCCACCGAAATTTGTGAGTGTGTTTGAAGCTGCTACCAATGGCATGTTGAGTTCTTGAGTTAAGTAACTTATCAAGTTACTGTGAAATCCAGCACTTGCGAATCTATCACACGCTTCATTCGCTGCATGTAAATTATCAATAACACAGTTAATATATGTGCAGAGATATTTAACTAGGGTTCGAATAGTTTTCTCAATTCTTCTTCTTTTAAAAGTGTAAGGGACAATCATTCATGATATGGCAGGACTTGAACTTTTGTTTATTTGATTTTTATTTGTCAATTTTGATTTGGCTGTATACGGAGCCACTAGCAAATCCACTATTATTTGTTTGTGGATATAATCATTGAATTTAACTTTGCGGTGACGAAAACTATAGCTTTATACACTGGATATATTATTTCGAGACAGATATATGGACAAAAGTTACAGAATATTTGCACGTGGAGACTGTTGAGAAAAAACTGCTACTCTAATTTTTAGTGTATAATATATTTAGTGTTATTAAAATTGATAAGTTGAATAATTAAATGATTGGACTCATAATTAAGAAACTAAATTAGAATGAATTGTTTAGAAGAACTTTAATTCAAATTTCTATTAGAACAATTCTTTTTGGAACTTTGAATTTCATTTATAGCTATTTTAAGTTTATCTAAGTTTTGTATAGATTGATCAATAATCAGGATAAAATAAATATGAATTCTATTTAGTTAGTTCAACTTGGACAAATATATTACAAAATTTTATCGAGACAAAATTTAACTTGCAAGATTTTAAAATGCAGTGTTTGGTTTTCACTTTACACATTTTAAAGAAGGCTTTGATTTCATTTATTAGATTAAAAGTTTAAAAAATAATATGGAAATTGGTCACCATTTTACAAAACAAATCAAATTATACAAATATGTAGATAAATAAAACCTAAAAATTGATTTTATTTTATTAAGCCGATTTGACTTTATGTGGGTTATTTCAACTATTTGTTTAGTAGTATAATTACCGGAATTCTACTTAATTAATAAATTAATAAAAAAAATGTGGCAGGTTTGTTTGAATTCGCCCTCCTATTATCAAATCCTATAATCAAATATTTTGTACAAGTTGATTAAACATTACCTTCTTTTAGTTCTAATATTTTGAAAATAAAATTATCATAAGCGATTAATTATTATATACTGTCAGTATAAAAAAATTTACATTATTAATTCATCATAACTATCTATTAATATTATTTTATTAATAATTAAAATTAAAATTAAATTTTTTCTAACATCTGACAAATATAAATAACTGACTGTATTATACATTTCAATTAAATTTTTATAAGAACACTGAAATCAGAATCCATATTTCAAAGCTATGAACAAAAAAAATATAAGAGGAGTGAGGATTATGGAAACAGTGGGAAATAAAATATGAAGTAAGTTAAACAAAAAGTGAAGCTCACCAAAAATGAAAGGTAGCGTTCGGATTCCTCCACGTCGACGGTGGTTCATCTTCTTGCTGTCTTCTTTCTCCACCATTTCCATACTATCCTTAATTCCCTTCTCTATCTCCATTTCTCTTTAATCATGTACTGCTTATGTGAGTGCTTATATATATAATATACCTCTCAGCTCAACCAATAGTATATCCTTAAATAACTAGCTACACCTATATATCATACAGTCACCACTCTATATATAGACAGAGATGGATTGATTTTCACCCGTCTGAGAATTTAACTTTATAATCTTATAAGTCTCTATCTTTAAGTTATACTACTATTTACTTTTTAACGAGTGTGATTTTTTAATAAAAAATGTGATTATTATTCTTTATAAATTAGAGAAACTTATCTAACATTTCTTAGATGTGGTTTATATTATTTTTTAATAAAAATATCTTAAGTATATTTAAATATTATTTAGGGAGTGAAAATATAAGAAAATTGTATATATCTTAAGTATATTTAAATATTATTTAGGGACTGAAAATATAAGAAAATTGTATATATGTATAAGAAAATTATACACTTGTTATAAAATATAGGAAAATAATAAAAATCATACCTAAGAGTTGTATCTAAGTTTTCTCCTTATAAAATATGTATGAGTTTTTCTTTTCATACTTAAAAATCATTTTACGAAAGTTAAAAAAAAGATATTATGACGCTTGACCAACTATTGTGAAGTAAGAGGTGGTTGTATGTGTTGGAAATTCACCTCACATCCTATGAAGAATTCCTTTCGATCTTAATCTCAAGATTGATGAACAAACCCACTATATGATAATGATGGTAATAACAAGTAATTATTAAGAACAACAAAAGAGAAGAAGAATAACAAACAAGAAAGAGAAGAATGAGAGAAAAAGTATTTGGAGAGAATGTGTTACCCACAACTGTGAGATTTCTTATTGAACTTTCACTTGCTAACTGCAACTGTGAAATCTGTTATGTTGTAATGTAGAATACAAAGCAAGGCACCCTATTTATAGTTTTAGGTTTACACTAGCCCAAAACATAAAATGGCCAAAATATTCTAAATCAAATCTAATCATATGATATCAAATCTAATCATATGATATCTAATCATATCATATCAAATTAATCATATGATATCAAATCTAATCATATGATATCAAATCTAATCATATCAAATCACAATGAATTATATTTAACACACCACCTAATTCATTGTGTCTAAACTGTCTACATTCATCATGGCTCTTAGTCTTCTGAAGGCTTCGACCTGCACTCCTTTCGTCATGATGTCTGCAATCTGATTCTCAGTTATGCAGTGTTCCAACTTCATCTTCCCTTCTGCTACCTGCTCTCGAAGATAATGGAACCTCATTTCGATGTGCTTGCTTCGACCATGAGCTATTGGATTCTTCGCCAAGTTGATAGCTGACATGTTGTCTATCTTCATGGTAATTGCTCCATGATTCTTCCCTGTGATTTCTTCGACCAAGTTCACCATCCAAGTTGCTTGACATGCACAAAGAGAAACAACTATATATTCTGCTTCGCATGATGACAATGCCACTACTGGTTCCTTTCTCGAATTTCAAGCAACGGGTGCACCACCTAACATAAACACATACCCAGCTGTGGATTTTCGATCCTCAGCATCACTACACCAATTGGAGTCTGTGTATCCCACTAACTTGCATTCTTTTCCTTCATCAGCTGCTGGAAATAAAATACCATAGTCGAGAGTTCCTTTTAGATACCTTAGTATCCTCTTCGCCGCTGCTAGGTGTGATACCTTTTGTTTCTGCATGAATCTACTTATCATACCAACACTGTATGCTAAGTCAGGCCTTGTGTGGCAAAGGTATCTAAGTGACCCAATAAGTCTTCTGTATTGGGTTGGGTCGACATCATCTTCATCTGAATCCTTTGACAGTTGCAATCTGGGCTCAGCTGGAGTCGAAGTTTGGTTGCAATCTTGCATCTCAAATCTCTTGAGTATCTCGCCTGCATATCTTCTTTGGTGCATCATCAAACCTCTACTTGTCTTGTAGAATTCGATGCCAAGGAAATATGAGAGATTTCCCAAGTCTGACATTTCAAACTCCTTACTTAGGCCATGTTTGAAATCTTCGATCTCCTTCTTACAACTCCCTGTTATCAACAAATCATCAACATAGAGACATAGTATAAGCAATTCGCCATTGCTTCTTCTTACATATACTCCATGCTCAGTTGTACACTTCACAAATTCCTTCTCCCTTAAGAAGCTGTCGATTTTCTTATTCCAAGCTCTTGGAGCTTGCTTAAGTCCATACAGGGCTTTATGAAGCCTGTACACCTTTCTTTCTTCGCCTTGTTTCACAAACCCAGCTGGTTGTGCAACATAAACTTCTTCGTCTAAGTGGCCATTAAGGAATGCACACTTCACGTCCATTTGACATGTGTGCCAGTTGTTCATATTTGCTAGACCAACAACCAACCTGATTGTTTCAATTCTAGCAACAGGTGCGAATACTTCATCGAAGTCGATTCCTTCCTTCTGAAGAAATCCTTTCGCCACAAGTCTCGCCTTGTGTCGAGTTACTTCTCCTTTAGGATTTACCTTTACCTTGTAAACCCACTTCACATCAATTGCCTTCTTGCCTTGCGGCAATTCGACAAGTGACCAGGTATCATTGACTTCGATGGACTCCAACTCTTCAATCATTGCTTTCATCCACTTTGAATCTTTCAATGCCTCAGCTACATTGACTGGTTCGACATCTGCGTAGAAAGCATAATGTACCAACTCACCCTCTTCATCGACTACATCATCTGATGTAATTACACATTCTTGCAACCTTGCAGGCATGTGTCTAGTTCGTCGAGGTCTGCTTGAACCTGCTTCATCTGCAACTGGTTCCTGTCGAACTTCTATTTCGACTTCAGTGGCTGCAGTTGCTAAACACTTGTGCTCTATCACATTGATTCTAATCTTGAAGGTCCTATTCTGAGACATTGGAGCCTTCAAGATTAGTCTACCACCTGCGTCGAGGACTCTCATCATCTTGTCTTCGACAACTACCTTGTAGTTCTTTTCGACAAGCTTCCCTATACTGAGCAAAGTTCTCTTCATGCCTGGTATGTACAACACATTGGAAATTGTTGACCTTTTGCCATCTTTCCTCATAATCATAACATCACCAACACCTTCAGCTGCTAGAGTGTTGTCATTTGCAAACTTCACCGTATTCTTCGACGAGGGCTTCATGTTGACAAACCAATCTTTCCTTCCAGTCATGTGTGATGAGCATCCTGAGTCCAAGTACCACTGATCTTGGAATCTTTCTTCATCGTTTGTTGTGACCATTAGCAACGTTTCTTCTTCTTCATGTTTCGCCAGCTTTGCATCAGTCTCTTGATTTCTCTTCTTTTCTGGACAATCACTAACATAATGACCATACTTCTGGAAATTGAAACATTGAATGTGGCTTTTATCTATCTTTCAATCACCACCTCTTCCTTTACCTGCAGCACCACCTCTTTGGTTGCCTTGGTTCCAAGGTTTCTTTTGATTCGACTGGTTTCCTCCTTTGTTGCCATTCCAACTACCTTTGCCTTTTCTCTCCTTTTCCGTTTGTGCCTGCAAAGCCATATCTTTCGACTTTCCTGCAGCTCTCTCAGCCATTCTCTGTTCATGAGACTCAAGAGTCCCTTGAAGCTCTTCCTTCGTCAACACTGACAGATCTTTCGACTCTTCTATGGCAACTACCACGTGGTCGAATTTTGGAGCCAACGATCTCAAAATCTTTGAGACAACTGCTTTCGTCGTCAGTGTTTCTCCACATACTTTGATTTGATTCACCAACCTTGTAACTCTGGTGAAGAAATCTGTAATGCTTTCGTTGTCTTCCATCTGAAGCAACTCATAGGTTCTCTTGTGAGTTTGTAACCTCACCTCTTTCACCTTCTCTGCGCCTCCAAACGACTTTTCAAGAATCTCCCATGCTTATTTTACTGAATCAACATCACTAACCTTTTCAAAGTTATCAGGATCGACACACTGATGAATTATTAAGAGTGCTTTATAATCCTTCTTCTTCAATTCTTTGTGCGCAGCCTTTTCCGCCTCCGTTGCGTTCTCCCCAAGCGATGTTACTCCGTCCTTCACAAGATCCCAAAGATCTTGATAACAGAAAATCACCTTAATCTGCTTGCACCAATTCTCATAATTATCTTTCTTGAGAATTGGCAGGGTCGCCGGAAAGTTGCCGTTCGGATAGTTCATCGCCATCACTATTTTCCTTCCTTGAATCTCTCAACCGAAGCTCTAGATACCAGATGTTGGAAATTCACCTCACACCCTATGAAGAATTCCCTTCAATCTTGATCTCAAGATTGATGAACAAACCCACTATATGATAATGATGGTAATAACAAGTAATTATTAAGAACAACAAAAGAGAAGAAGAATAACAAACAAGAAAGAGAAGAATGAGAGAAGAAGTATTTGGAGAGAATGTGTTACCCACAACTGTGGGATTTCTTATTGAACTTTCACTTGCTAACTGCAATTGTGAAATCTGTTCTGTTGTGATGTAGAATACAAAGCAAGGCACCCTATTTATAGTTTTAGGTTTACACTAGGCCAAAACATAAAAGACCCAAAATATTCTAAATCAAATCTAATCATATGATATCAAATCTAATCATATGATATCTAATCATATCATATCAAATTAATCATATGATATCAAATCTAATCATATGATATCAAATCTAATCATATCAAATCACAATGAATTATATTTAACAGTATGTATGATGCTTTCTATCGTGATTATAAATCATCTAGCGTGTTACCTATCACAACGATTACTTCAAACAACATTGTGATATTCTTTAATGCATAACATTTAAAAACGATTGTTCTAAATAATCGTTGTGATATAAAGACTGAGTTTATTATAAATTATCTGAAATGCTTAATTATTTTGTCAATGCTTACTACACATAAAATCTTTCAATCTGATATAAAACATTATAATATGTCAAATTAAGTTATAGGCTTAAATGCAATATTGGTCACCCTTCTTGGTTTTTTAGTAGTCTCTCCTTTAA